CGGCAGGTGCAAGGATGTGCTTGGCCACCATGGTATTTGGCTCTGGCGAAGCGTGACCTTCGGAAGCTGGCTGCTAACTATGAAGGGAAAAGCCAATGTGCGGTCCCAGTCTCCTGCCGGACCCCCGACAGCAGGGAGGCGGTGGTAGCCCTTAACAAGCGGTACTGTAGACAATGAGGATGATGCATTCTAGCCACCGTTCGCGACACTTTCGCGAAGAAAACAGTTTCTGTTTCGCAAACAAACTTTCGCGCGGGGTCCCAGCACAAATGAACTGTGTTTGCAATTGAAACTCGTTATCAGGACCTTCAGATGGATCACCACATATATATGTTTATATGCAGAGATATATTTCGATATATCGATAGTGATAAATCTTGAATCAATGCGTACAAAGAAGAAGGATTGCCTATGCAAGACCAACCACGTAGATAGCGGTCCAATGAGTTCAGTTCATCCAAATCAGGCTCGTGGGTGCCCAGACCAAGGTGGCCTACAAAATGTTTGACTGCAAACACGATCTGCTGCAAAGCTGCCAGGTCTACTGATGATCAACTAGAAGCTACGTCATGCTGCTGCCACACGATCGGATTAGTGACAAAGGTGGCCTACATGAACTGCAACTTTCAACATGAGATAGACTGTCGTTACAAGGTAACCCAACGGAGATGCACCTTTGCAGCCCAAACGTAAAAATGTCCTTGGTCTGCCGCATCTCGCCAGCGTGCGCCCCGTGCCCGACATGGGGAAAGATTGGGCTGAATGCCCTTGAAACGGAGCGCCGTGCATGATGGCCAGTCGACGGGGCGGGCGAATTCCAGGAAGCAATGAATATGTAGACGGCCAGCATCCTCCGAACGCAAACTTGATTCCATCGTGGCACTCCATTTGCCGACCCACTCACACGTTGCAAGCCAAGTAGGGAACTCATCGAAATCCGCCAGCTGCAGCTGCAAGGAATTGTAGGTTACCAACACTGCTCGTGCTCGAAGACGAAAAGGGCGGGCATCACCTGTGAAAAATGTCCAACAATGAAGTGGCTGCGACTAGGACTCATGACTATACCCCTTCTAGTTCAGTCTCTCCCATCTGCATGCAAGGCTGAGGCTTGCCTACTGTCACTGATGCATGTCATGTCCATCCACTGCTCTAGGTCTCTTACCCTCCGGAAAGCACCGTCCCGGATGCAGGGACAGAATGGCAACTACTTGCGGTCTGACCTGGTCCTGGGGCTGCTGCCATATCCACATCCTCTTGGGTCGATGCTGCTGCACCAGCTTCGTCTGCTGCTGCAACGCCCTGCAAAGCTGATTAGAAACATTGTGAACCAGAAGGCCGTGCAAACCCAGCGAATGGTAGCACCAACCAGGACGGCTGAGCAAGTCGCAGCAGGGTGAGAAATGTGAAAAGTGACCCGAACAACGGGTCGCAGTCTTTAGCACCCGACAAACAGGTGAGGCACCTCATAGAGGTCAATGATGTCTCGCAGCTTCTGAGTGTCACTCGGAGACAAGGTGCAGTTCTCCAGGCGCTGTCGTTGCGCTGCAAAGTCGGCGCGAGACAATTCACCCCGAAATTTCGGCACCTCGAGCTGGTTGGCTTGCAGCAGTTCCCGCAACGACCCGCACGCAGCACGCTTCCGTGTCGTGGAGGATCTCATGGCTCGGCCCAAGTGCAATGCGGAAACATCCTGTCTGCATGGCATGTCTTGGGTGCAAGGCTCCAATGCGATGTGCTACGTCAGTTGCTTGCGACACCCCGCTTTGCTGTCAGGTGGCCCATTTCCTTTGGAGAGGGCTTGACACTAGAAACAGCAAGGAACTCACCACCACGTCCTTAAAGCAGAATGCAGGTCACAGGCTTGAGCATGAAAAAAGCACATGGAGCAGATAGTCTGCTAGCTGGACGTGCATATGGCCCACAGGTCTGGAAAAAGCGTGTCGACCGTTGACACCCAGGAATGCTGCTGATGATTTCCGCTAGAGAAATGTGACTGGTAGAGGCACGTGTCTGAGTAGCAATATCTACAGAGACGGTCTGCCCCAGAAACAAAACCGCTCACGGCCCATGTTTTCACCCGACGTAACTGCAGTTCTCTCCGGCTGCCGCTTCGCACACGTGCGATCCACAGACGCCATGCTGCGACAGCACTGCAAAAAAAAGGAATGGAAGCTGGAAGAAGGGGTGGAAAAGAGGTAGATGTGATGTGGGAACATGGCCGCTGCAAATGATGGAATGGGAAGGATGTGCATGGGGGTAATGTCTTAAAGCTGCTGTTGCTGCTGCGCGCGACAGTACGCAATTACTATAGGCGGGACCGCAGCGGGACCGCGGCGGGACCGCAAAATGTGGGAATTCCCACGATTCCAGGTTGCAGGCGGGACCGGTCCCGCCGTCGGCGGGACCACTTTACCTGTGAATTTATAGGAGCGGGACCGCATACCCCGTTTGGGAATTATAATAATATACCAGGGGGGGTCAGGTGATGTTTTGGAGGTGGGGTGTGGGAAGATTCTTGGGGAGGTGATGTTTTGGAGGTGGGGTATGGGAAGATTCTTGGGGAGATATCTTGTCTATCTAGCGTTGTATCCCTGGATGTCTTCTAAATGGGGTCTCTGGACCGCGCATGTCTTCCAAGCGCTTTATTTTCGACATGGCGCTTGCAAGTCTGCGGTTTCCAGCTTTCACTCCTGCCGCGTTATGCCTTTGGCATTGGGATTTTCAGCCTTGACATAGTCTCATTCCAAGCGCTCTATGTCTTGACCATGGCGCTTGCAAGTCTGCGGTTGCCAGCTTTCCCTCCTAGTATCCATGCCTTTGGCATAGTGCTTTCGAACCTTCACATGGCCGCTCTCACTCCAAGCGCTCTATGTTTTTAGCATAGCGCTTTCCACATAATGCACGGCTTGACTCTACTCATGCGGGCTTGCCATTGGATGCATGCGACGTGCCAGCAGCCACGTCAAATTACTCACATCCAGCTTTCCTGCTTGTCGTAGAAGACGTCTTCGTTTCCTTTCCTGCAGGCTATGGAGTACATGTCTTTCAACATGGGTTCAGTGTTCACATGTCCCACCTATACTCACGAAAAAACACCGTATCCATGCATTTACATGCACTCTCCTGGTTCTGTAGTTCTTTGGTGGCTGCTGCTAACTGGCGTTTCAAATTTTTGCGCTCTTCCTTCAGCACAGCAACCCTATCAGTCGCGGCCGGTAGGGCTGCAGCTGCCGCGGCCTTTGCATCAGCAGCGGACATGGCACTCAAGGCGGGCGAACAACAGGCTTGCTCCACTCAAACTGCATGCAGTCCTCAAGATGATCCTGTGTTCTCTTTGTGCTTGCCTGGTACCTCCTTTTCACCCCTGTTTACGACCCCAAAAACATAGCTACGAAAATGTAACAAAATGGTCATGCACCGATATACCCTGATAATATATATATATATATAATTATATTTATATAGGGAAACGAAAATATTACGTCTAAACATTGTTCTCAATAAAAATATAACCATATATTTTAGACATGAAAAATAAATAAACCACAATAAAACACGATTGATGAAAATATTGATTTTCTATTCTCTTATAATGTCCTCCTCGTGTGCAACCTGCATATCAACGCTGGGATTCTGCATCATTATATATGTTTCTATTCTCTGGGTCACTTCCCAGTACTATTTTGTACTACAAAATTTGCACAAAGGACTTCCCAGTACTACTTTGTATTACAAAACTTGCACAAAGTCCTTCCCAATACTACTTTGTACTACAAAGCTTGCACAAAGCACTTCCCAGTACTACTTTGTACTACAAAGCTTGCACAAACTACTTCCCAGTACTACTTTGTACTACAAAGCTTGCACAAAGGACTTCACAGTGCTACTTTGTACTACATAGCTTGCACAAAGTACCTCCCAGTACTACTTTGTACTACAAAGCTTGCACAAAATCCTTCCCAGTACTACTTTGTACTACAAAGCTTGCACAAAGCACTTCCCAGTACTACTTTACGTACTACAAAGCTTGCACAAAGCACTTCCCAGTACTACTTTGTACCACAAAGCTTGCACAAAGCACTTCCCAGTACTACTTTACGTACTACAAAGCTTGCACAAAGCACTTCCCAGTACTACTTTGTACCACAAAGCTTGCACAAAGCACTTCCCAGTACTACTTTACGTACTACAAAGCTTGCACAAAGCACTTCCCAGTACTACTTTGTGCTACAAACTGACATGACAACCTGCTTGGAAACCTTCGAAAAGGAGAGGTTTTGCAGCTTCCCCCATAGACACGGAATTCACGACGCGACGACGACGCGACGCCGACCCGACGACGACGCGACGCCGACCCGACGACGACACGACGCCGACCGGACGACGACGCGACGAGCCACTCGAGGTGAACAAGGGTCCAGCCCCCAGACCCCCAGACTATAAACGGGAACCCTTCGCTACGCATTCGGGAACAACAGGATAATCTGGGATGAACATCCAAAATCATCAAATCACCAGCTCAACGCCATCTTACCTATATAACTAATCAACATACCCACAACCTGGAATTCTGCATGCTAATAGTGATCAGCTACGTGATCTCATTAAAAACGGGTTACATATCCAAACTCCAGAGTTCCTATGCGTTCTGGCTAAAGGCACGACTTTTGCGAAACACACTTCCCCAAGGCACAAAGATTTTTTTCCTAAAACAGGTACGACTTTGTCAGATGCCTGTATATGTCTATAAATTAAAAAACCATTATATATATATATGTATACATATTATTTTTAGAAAATATTATATAATTAGTTGATATAATCCTATAATGTTTTCAATATATTTATTTAATTGAATAATATTATATATATATGAATATATTTCCCATGTGTAGTCGAGGTCAACCGAAGCTAATCAGAAGATTATAATTTATTTCAATTTAAATTTAATTGGTTCATATACAGCATATTTAGATATATATTTAGATTATGTTAGATTTGTTTTGAAACATATTTCGGATTTTTAAAATTGCAGCGTTTCTTATGTACACATGACTGTTTTTCAAATAATTTACAAGGAAACCACCCTCTGCCTGCATTCAATCGAGGGCACCTGGCCATGGAGAGGTCTGGAAACGCATCCCGGATTGAACTGTGCATTCTGCTGAGTAAAGAATCCAATTCTGTATATCTTTGGAAATCTGATCATATTTTTAGGATATCTTTGGGTCATATGCGGAGATATTTACATATATTTACCAAATAATTGAAGGTTGTTTAGGTCACCATCGGGAAAGAGCAGTGGCAGGGATAAACAGCTTGTCCTGTTTGAAGTAAACAATCTTTGGGCACCTCTCAAACTTTAAAATCATTTGACAGTGCTTTGGTGCAAAAAAAGTTGTGTCCTCAAAGCAAGCAGGGCAGCAACGAAAATATCCTCGCAACATTATCTTGGACACCCTGTTTAGGTGTTCATATGAAATATGTACACATGTTTATAGGGGGAACATATGAAATGTTCACCTACACGATGGGGCCTGCAGTTGTGGTCTATAGACAATCTCTGTGGAATACTGTAACGATATATCCGTGCTATTCCATCATCATCCACCAATCCTTTTGCTGGACTACTGTACTTGGTGGTTTATCCCAGTTATTAAGTGGGTTGCGGTTACAGCCCCAGTTGCAAGTAGGCGAAGTAGGCTTAGGTTCACCCACTTCCTGTATTCCCCGAACATGGATGCGTTATGATGGTGATATGATCCGAGAACATATTATAATTGTATAACTATACGTGTATATACTACTAATGCTCATGAGGCTCATGGTTTCCGTAGAACTCCACACAAAACCACGAGGTAGCCTCTGGTTATTTCACATAGCTATAGAAAATGCTCCAGTTATAGGTGTTCATCCAATGATTTTTATTTATCCCTTATTTACCTATTAAACACCGGTGATTTTCCATAGCTCAACGGTGAGTTCCAGGCCCCTCAGATCCCGCACCCGCGGACGGGCGGGAACGGACGCGCCGGACCCATCCAGCGACGGGAGATGGTCGCCGCCCGGATCGTCCAGGTCCTCAGAAAGATCAATGGAAGACTCAGTGACATTTTTGGGAAAGTAGAGATTTATATATATATATATATATGTCTATATATATATATATCTAAATATGACTTAGTTACTTAATTATACTTTAGAAGGATTCTCACGAAATATCATGAAATGGGATGGATGAGCATAAAGCACATATCATGTTTTGGCCCTAGCACATTTGTTTCTTGATGTGTTTAAATAAAGGATGTCCTTTGCAAATCACCGTTGAAGCGATCTGCCCAAGGTCATCGACACCTATCACAGATCATCCTCATCATCAGTTGTATGGCAATTGCTGGTTACACATTCACCATGTTGTACCATGTTGCAGCCCATATTATCCATATATGATTGTTGCTGCTTGGACAATAAATCATCCTCACGTTTGCCATCCCATGGTGCCTGATCTGAATCTTCATCTTCCAAGTCTACAATCAAGGTTGGACCAATCTCCTCACACTCTTCCTGGCAACAGTTTGTTATGGAAACGAAAAAACGCGACATGGAATTTTCTGTGGGGCTGCAGCTGGGGTCTTTCTGACCAAGGTGATCATCTCGTTGGGATCTGCGGAGCATATGACTACAATTCATACATATTAAATCATATTAATCTGGGTAAATACATTATAATATTTCACTAACTTGAATCTTGCGGCCATTTGGGGATGATTTCCCTGAAATAAACTATGATTCCAGGGTTCGGTCGCGACGTGAGGTCGTTATTTCATTTACCCAGATGAATATACCCACTTCTAACTGGAACTGCACCCACTACCAAAAAATTACTCAACAGGGTCATGTCGGGATGCCACTGGCAATCTGTGTCGGTTTTTGTGTTCTCCAACATTGGAGGTCAATTTGCGCGGGTTATCTAACCTGGCAATGGAAAATCACCGGTGAACTCCAGATCATTTTCCCAGGAGTTTCCTGGGCAAAGAACTTGGAAGTGTTTATGACTTGGATCTGTACATGACTTGGGGTCCCAGTATGTCCCAGTCGTGGGATGTATTTTTCCCAAGTGAACGGGGGATGGGACTCTGAAAAATGACTCATTGACCCTCTAGATTTAGTTCGATTTAGTGGAGAAACACCACATTCACCGTCCACCGTCTTAAACAAAATGGCATGTGGCATGACTAGCATAACATCATCTTGCTCCCAAGAGAGGTCCAAAGCAAACTTAGACGCCCTGCATTGTTCTTCTTTTTTGGCAGGTTTAACAAATCTCTAAGTTTGCTTAATATCTTAATGGCAAAAGACACATTGAATAAAGTGATCCGTTCCCCTAGTATTGAATACCCCCAAACTAAAACCTGGTTTTAGTGTTTATCTAGTACCCACTGGTAATTTAACATACCGGATTCTTCAAAAAAAAACAGCCATCAACAGGACACCACATAGATACCTAAATTACCTGCGCAACTCCGAACTTCAACGTTGTGATCGGAAGTGCCGAACACCATCAACAGAGATGGCTGTCTTTTTTAAAAGGCCGCCAAACACAAAATTCAGAAAACAGGACCCGGTAGCTATGGAAAATGGATGAACATGGCCAATTGAGTTCGATTATTTACATCTTATCCTAATTTTCCATAGCAAACTGAACAAACTGCCAAAGGGTATCCCATAAACATGCCATTTCATATTCCATTATATACAAATCCACATTAATCCAATGGTTGATCACCTGGCTTTTCCTATCGCACAGTGTTTTTAAAACCTCCATTAGCGTCCCCCCAAAAACTCGCAGCGATCTCATGATCTCACAGCTCATGGATTCAGATAATCTTTCCAATTAATATTGGCTAGTATACCCTCTGGTAATTTAACATAACTATGAAAAATCACAATTTTTAATGGGACAACTCACTATAAATGGCCATTTTCAATAGCTATGTTAAATTACCAGAGGGTAACTCCGTCATATTCCGTTCAAGAAATCACCTGAAAACATGTTGGTTTTACTCCCATGAACATCCGATGTTTGATATTTGCCAATTATGTAGTTATGGTCTATCTTGATACAAACCAATCATAGAAAGTCACACATATATAATGATATATCATATACACATTTCCCGATCTTGAAAATTTATGAACATAGAAAATTATCTTAAAGTCCCATGAGCATCCAATGATGTTAAAATCCCATGAGCATCACCAATGTTTTAATCCCAGTTTGCTTCAAGTTGGTGATGAAACCAGCAACTCCCACAGCTCTAGCCTCGGGACATGCCGGCAGCTTTGCTTCCCAGATGGATAGGAGGTGTGACACCTGGCGGTGACAAAATGGGGGGCATATCATAGGGATGCAATGAGGATATCACTAACAGCTATATATATAACTAGACATACATATATATATATATATACATATGTATATGATGTTGATTATAGGAAGATATGGGACGTTGTTTATAAAGTCAATAATATGATTATGGTATTTAGGTGTGTCAGGAAATTTGGGATGTTCCTCCAAATATTGTCATTGGATGGGGGCAACTACAGTATGCTTTAAACATCTTAAAACAACAGCATGTGAACAAATTCGAACATTGCTGGTACTTATCAAATAGATTCAATATTATTCAAATAGGTTTTGGTGGATCAATGTCTTTTTATCATCGGACATGGGTATAAATCAAGGGTGATATTAGAGCAGGTTGTACAACAAGGGTATATATACTCTGGGTCTATCTATCCACATATACATATACATATACATATACATATATATATATAGTAGCACATGTATATATCGTTATAAAACGAAACACATGGGCACAAGCAAACCTCAAGAAGGAGATCACATTCACGGGTCAACATCCACCCCTGCTTTGTGGCTTTCTGAAAGCTCAAATGTCTGCAGGAAACCATAGTGAATACTGCCATTTGATCAGCCATTTCCTCTCCAGTCTTCCAGTTTTTTGGGTGTTCCATATTAGCCTGGAGCCTGCGGCAATGTGCCCCTTGATGACAACACAATGCACATGAACTTTCGAAAGAACGCCATAAGTGCCTATTGATTCGCAAGCAACTGTTGTCCTTGTTCAGTCATGCCATATTTGGGTCGGTGTACTGTCCCTGCCAGATTTGGGGCATGGGAAAAGCGGCCCAAAGACCCACAAACGCAAACCGACACCTTCTGAGCCGTTTCTTTCCGAACACAATGTGCTATGTTGTCCTCAGCTGTCCAAGAATAAAGTTTCTGCGGGGTGGGTAACCACCAGCAATGCTTTGTTTTATCAAAATTATATAATGTTTTTGACCGACAAACAGGGGTGTTCTACCAGATTCTAGTAACCAAAAGAATTGGCAGTACTATCACCAATTCTCTTCAGATCAACAACACCAAGCACATAATATCCATCAAGGTGCAAAAACTGATGGATTGATGATGACCTTAAAAGTTTACCTTAAGTAAAACCAATAGAACATCTTACAGAACAAGGTAAAAACACCTTAATAAGCCAATATCAACTCCAATGCAGTAGGTTCACAGGACATGTGTTGATGTAAGGCTGTGAAACCCACTTTCTTACAGGGTTCATCGCCCCTTCCGCACGTGCAGGGACAACAACCATCCGAGCTGCATCAATGGTCCGGCGGGGCTTCAGTTTCTCGATGTCGCGAGCCAGTTTCCTGCAGGACAGGATATGGCTTGGAGGAACAGGGACGTCGAGCTAGCAAGAAATGAGAATTGTTGACTCAACGAATGAACAACGAATGAACAACGAATGAACCATGTACACAAATTGGGACAATCAAGACCTGGAAATGACACAGTAAAATCATTGCATTTAAACTCTCTACCGCAAATCAATCATCTTAGCTGAAACTCAGCGAGTACTGGAATTGGCCTTCTGGTGGTCGGTGCGGTCAAAAAGACTCCAATCACAAAGGGGCGTCAGTCAAAATAGGAGAACCATGGAGAACCAACCCAGTGGCCATCGTGGCCCATCCGTCGATCAACATCGATCAACTCGGCGCCTGAGAGCTTTGAGAGCGCCTCTCAACTTAGATGTGTTCCTTGGATTTGGAAACCCGGTCTTTCGGCAAAAAAACCGGAGCCACTTGCGCCACTTGCAGCTGGTGGCCATGGGCTGTATACAATGCAGCTGCTTGGTGAAAAAACAAACATCTTCATGAGTTACTCGAGTTGTTAAGTTGGGATCATCATCAAAGTAGGGGTGGAACAGAAGAAATGGTTATTTTTTTAAAAAAAAAGACAAAACAAAAACACATGCTCCCATTCTGCAAGCCCGAATTTACCTACCAAGAGGCAGCCTTTTCAGGTGGGATAAACATGGATCAAGTAGAGATATGTTTCTGGTTTGTTTCATTCCTTGGTCACCTGTTGAATTGATGGTTGGTACTCCAGCTTTCCTGCTCCCAAGCTTCAAATACCACGTGAGATGTTGCGATATCGCTCCGGGTTAACATCCACCAAGTAAGTAGTTGGTGACATAGATTCCCATGATATCCCATTTCCTCAAATCCAACCAAATATTCCCAGTATCTTTTCCCAATATACTCCAATGATATCCCATTATTGTTCTAGGATATATATATATACATACATATGTATATATATATATGTATATATATATGTATATATATATGTATGTATATATATGTATATATATATGTATATATTCAAAAAAACATATTGTAATGTGGTAAACCCTAAACCCTAAACCATCCCCTAAATCATCATTTTGTGGTTGCTACAAACCATCCCCAAATGGTAGTTGTTTATGGTATTGGGTTGGGTTTCCCACATGCCTCCAGTAAACTAACATAACAATACCAAACAATTGCTTATTTATCGATGATTGACCTATTAAATCCTATGAACCAATTAATCATGATGATTTCCATCGCTATGAATTATGACTATGGAATAATATGGCAGACCAACATCTGGACATCTTACAAATACCAAGGAAATACATCATACATCTATAAATCAAGAAAATTATGGCTCAGCGTCTCTGGATCCAGATTTTGCAGTTGCTCCTCAAGAGCCGCCGCCACCTCCGCCACCTAGCATCGAATTTGCTACTGAGATTTAGCAACCCCCCTGCTGATTCAGAGAAGTTCTTTTTATTTGATGCAATCATGCAAAGAAGCAATACCATGAAATATTCAACCCTTTGCTGTGAGATCCCCTGTCTTTGCTGCATGTACCTCTAAAGAACCATGTTATCAGGTTGTTAATGTAAAGTTAGGCAATATGTTATTTCATAAAAGTGAAATAATGGAACAAACCAGGCACGTCTATCTTGCAGGAATGACATTCTTTAAAGCAATTGTTATGCAGGACAAAATAAGAGGGTGTTTTTTTTTGCAAGAATGCTGCTTCTTATTCAATAGAATGTATTGTTTCAAGCCAATTATTTAATTTAAAATAAATACAGTCTTTCCGTTGTTGAAAAAAAACATACAGAACACGCTGAAAGGATGGCTACACGGCTACACTTCATTCAAATGTAGATTGCATATTTCCATACATTTTTTTGGTAAGAATATGGCTCCTCCTTGTCAATGAAATATAGTCTTCAAGACAAATTGCAACTCTGCAAGCAGCATTTTCCTTTAACAACAACCTTTTTCTGTTTTAAGGAATGCTGCAATGTTCACTGACCATTGCGCTTTCTGACAGGTTGGACAAATGCATTTGTTCCTCGTAAATACAAGTGGAAATGCTGTTTTGGTAGGTTGTAGGGGGGTGAGCATATACATGTATATATATATATGTAATGTATATAATTATATATATATGTAATGTATATAATTATATATATATGAATATATGATGTAATGTATATATATATATATCTATATACATATGTAGCAAACAAAAAAAAAACAGATTCAAGAACGTAGCATCCATACAAAAAAAAAATCTTTTTGCTGTTCTCTTTCTGGGCGCTTACTAATAGAGATCTTATCTTGAAGACCACCCTTGTTCTTGGCAGGAAGGTCATGTTCCAACCCCCAACTCATGGAGGGGTCTTTGTTACTGGGAGGGAGAATAGACCTCCAAAACTGGAAAATTGTACTGCAAATGTAAAATCACGTAAATAAATAATAAGAATAGAGACTTTGACCCCATGATTCGCGTATTTATTTTCGCGCATTACGAAAAATATGTTCATGGACATGTACTGTGAGCGAGTTCGCGGGATCCCAGTTCCCTGGTGGGGAACATCATTGATGAGGATGTGGGGTGGAACTGTTTTCCTTCTTTTCAGACAAAAAAAGGCATTTGGAAATGCCGCATGATACGTTCAAGCAACAAACAGAAACGTACACTGGTTAACTATATGAACACCTCCACAAAATCTTTAAATAACTGAGGCAACTTCCCTTCATTTCAGACATTTTATGTTCAGTCTTTCATCACTGACAGTTCCCTGACCTTGTCAGCTTTCTCGCGCAGCTTTTGCACGCAGCGGTCCCTGGAATTTTGACTCACTGCATTGGCATCTGTCCACCTGAGACCAATGGGTGACTGGAGACCAACTTCACCATGACACAAACCGAGCTCGATAGATGTAGGCACCTAATCTTTCATTCTTTAACCAGGGGTGCAAAACAGTTCCAGTCTACTGGCTGCAGCCTTTTTGCGCTTCATCGCCACTTCTTTGGTATTTTTGTTCTTGGCTCCAGCGTTCAGCTTCGGAAGCTCACTTTTGCCATGGTCTTTGTTTTCTTCTGGCTGGAATCCAAAATGGGTCTGTCAGAAAATAAGGTACCCCTTTTTTAATGGGCTTTTCATCATGTTCCCAGTAAAATGGCCATTCTCATCACCCAGTTTTTTTAAACAAACACATCCGTTTCATGGCAATCCAAACCAAAGGAGTTCATCCAAAAATCCCTATGAATTGATGACCATCCCAAGGGCCCCAAGGTCTGGCTTAATCCAATCCAACTCTTGGGGTGACGCCCTGGATTTTCCGACGGTTGTGAGGCCACTGATTCCTGGGATGGTGATTTTTTAACTGCAGGGTTTATCATGTTTGTATTGGTGATGGAGCCATCCTTCCGAACAGTTCGCTTCAACAATATGATATGATATGATATGATATGATAATGATACCCATTTATAAATTAAATATGTATAGGTACAGATATTTGAAAACAAAATATACGGATAGATACACTGGGATTCCTCATCCCAAGCACGGTTTTTTGATGACTGGGATCAACATGGATCAACGGCACAAATCGGCACCCAAAAGATAGGATGGATAGTACGAAACAGTGCTTCGAACCCGGCCTCCAAAGCTTTCCAGTTTTGACCCATATATACATATTACATATATATATATATATGTACATACATATAATATATATATAATATGTAATATATATATAATTATATTTATATAACTATATTTAAATAAATATATATATATATATTGTATATATATATACACATAATTAGTATATATGTATTTATATACACATACGTATAGATATATCCAAACCCAAATAACCTCAAATCAGCACAGCCAAGCTTCGATTTATGGGCAGCCTTCAGATCTGCTGTTTCCAGAAGCTGAAGGCATTGCACAAAGCCGTGGTTCGGTAGCGCCTGGCAATGAGCCACACAGCCAGCAGATTTTGGACCCCAGATCCCATGCAGCACCCCGAGATTTGTAACTCAAAAATAACTGGATCCATTTATGGCTAAGAAATAATTTTATGATGAGCCAACCGAACCAAATTCGTTTCTCTTGGGTTCCCTGGTAGTGTTCAGGTTGAGTTGACTTGTAGTGATCCAACCCCCACCTGATGGACAAAAAGGACAGCTGATCGTGTAGCCAGTGATCTTTTCCAAGGCAACAAGGATGTTACAAAGCCAGGAGTACCCTCAAACAATGGGTTTCAATACGTGTTTTAATAGTATATAAGATGACCTCATCACTTGGATGCTTTGGGCACCTGCGAAATAGACTTGGAAATCTGGAACTCTTGGAGGAAACATGCCCTGAAATCACACTGGAGGTAAAACACATAATTATCATATATTATCATACAATCTAAAAAAAACATTGTTGGATACCCAAAGTAGTCATCATAATCTACCAGCATAGTATGATAATGACTATCAAAATCATCATAACCATCATAATCATCATAATCATTATCACGAACGACAGCCTAATGTGATTTCCACCCAGCCCATGCGCAACCACCTGAGGTCTCGCTCTCTTCACCTGGCTGGATTAGGCGACGCTTCACCGACAGAGCCAAGCTTCACCAAGTTTTTTTTCCCTGGGGGGGCTATAAACCTAAGCTTGGGAAAACGGGGTTGATCACTGAGCTTAACATAACTATACATATATATATATACATACACGTCTATACACATACATATACGCAATATGAAGTACATAATACGCAAGATTTATCGACATATTTTATCAGTGTGCTTTACACCAGTGAGATTATTTACTACTCTTTACATCAGATGGAGAAGAAAACTGCGAAGTACCAGGATGATCCTGAGATGGTTTGCACGCTAAGATCCATGGCAATATCTATGGCGACGATCCAACCGTACCAAAACTGCTGGCTGATTTTTGCAAATATAGCATCATATAATATACCATAATATATATATACATAGCATCATTTACATACTTGTATATTAATACAAAATATAAATATAATATATATATATATACACATGCAATTTTGCACCTTTATATTCTCTTGTCGAGTCAGATCTTTCCAGGTTCACCCTATGAATCAAGGACAGTGTCACCACCTTTGCCAAAACGAACAGCTGTGATGCCATCCTTGGTGGTCACAGTGCACGTTTTGCTGAAGCTCTGTCCGGCCATCATGGCGTGGCTCCCATGGCGCCAAAGTGGCACGATTTTGTCAGTTGCATCCCCTGAAATGTACCCCCTTGCTTTGGGTTAATGTCCCCACTGCCTCGCTGAAAAAAAACCTGGGTCGGCCCTCTTTGGGTCGCCACTGCTCATCCCCAATGCTTGTCCTGAAGCCGTTATTGGTGATATCGCATCTGCATCCCCGCTCTAAGTTAAACCCCAGCAATGCCTACATTTCCTGGGCATCACTCTTTTTTGATGTTGTGAGACAAAGGTCCAAGGTCGAATCCTAGAGAATCCTACACCTTCTGGAAGATTCGACCGTCCCCTTCATAGCAGAAATGTCGAAGGCACATTTCATGTGCCAAGAATCCATGGCCACGCAACGAACCCGACAGGCAAACACAGGAGATTTCTGGAGTGGACACAACATCCGGCAACTGAAAATTGGATGATGTTGCCACATTTTGGAGTCGCCCCAAAAAAAAGATGGTGAAATGTTGTGAACTCGCTTGAGCATCACCACACCTTTAGGTTTTTTCACCACACTTTTAGGTTTTCAACAGCTTTTTTGTGAGCCTTAAAATATCTCCATTTTACGTGGACATTTACCGAATTCTGCGAACGGCCTTTCTCATTCATCAAACAAGGGTTTGCCCATGTTTGCCCAGTACCCTCCCAAACTCAAATATGGCTGGCTCGGAAAATCACCTTGTTTCTACTAGGAAGATTGTCTATAAATCATTAATCATTATTTATATTTATATATATATATATATATTTATAATCCCATCCCCCATATTAGACACCCCCATTCAATGGTCCTAGTCGTATGTGATTTCATCCCCAGCTAAACAACAGCATTTTGCTTGATTCAACCTGGATTTTTTTTCTTGGTAAAATCGCCCGGGCCCCGGCCCGCCCCGGCCCGCCCCGGCCCTCAAAAACTCCCCATCTTTGGTGAACTCGCTCAAATATCCATTTTTCAGCCCCAGAAAAAATCCCAAGCAGCAAATCCCATCCACTGGCAGCGTTGCCTTCTCCAAAGCTTCTTGCAGCGATAAAGCCTGACTGCCAGTTTACCCGTCAGAATTCTCAGCAACTGGGTGGATTCATCGTGGATTTGTAACCACCATTCCACGATGGAAATTTGTCAATTCCTACACATTGGAGTGATGCGAATTACAGTGAAAAAGCAGCTGCCAGTAGTTATAGTAAACTACTAATTCCTACTAAGATAGTGATAAAGAATTGTTCTGCCTTTTGGTGGTTACAAACATGTGCAACTGGGGTTTAGCTCATCACTGGCTTGCAATTCTCCATGACTTTCTTGGTCCAATACAACGGCATTGGATAACCATCAACCGACCCATTGCCTCGAATAGAGGACCGACCCATTGTGCCGTTGCACTCCATGGCACGCGACTCATCTTCAAACAACAAGTGTGTATCAGAATCTTGTTGGCTCTTACAAGATGGTAGTAGGCGGTAAGTCATTGGAATTTTAGTAGGGCAATTTCCCCGAATACTTCAGGGAAATCCAACATTCTGTGTTGTCAGAATTCTACATTTTAACTGCATGATCCCATGTAATTGGCACCAATGGACCCACGAACATCGTGTTTTCATTGTCTTTTCAGCATTTGAATCCGTCCATTCTTGAGGCGTGTCCACCATTCCAGTCAACACATGTTCAGTTGATGATGACCTCTCAATGTGAGGTTTGTTCAAATGCTATTGCTTTTGTTGATCTATATATATATATTGTATATATATATGATCTTTTTGGTAGTTATCGCATCTACTTACATCTCAATGTCCAATGCTGAATGCCCCATTTTATTGTTGGTGAAATGCCAATGTTTATCCTTTTCTAGCTGGTATATATTGGTTGTCATAAGTTAGAGTCCCACTAGATCCCTATCATATCCCATGTTTCTCTGGTTCAATCTCAATCTTTACGAATTTAAGATGGTTACATCCCGTTTCAAACCCAAACACATGTAAAAAAAACATGTTTCATTCATCTTATATCTTTAGATCCCCACAAACACTCTACATTTCCTGATATTTGAGATCTCCAAATGCCTTGTTTTTTCCCATCATCCCATGCTTTCCTCGCCTGCCGCTGCATGAGCCATGCCGTGCACACCGCCACGGAGCGGCTGATGCCCGAGGCGCAATGCCCATGGCGCCACAGGGCATGGTGAAGCCATGGGGTTTTTTCCGCAGGTCCCAAATCTGGAGGATATTTCACCAACATGGGGATGAAATATGATGAAATGGCAGTGTGTCAAAACCTTGTACCCCTGGTGAACATCAAGATAGCTGGTAAATGGATGTTCATCCCACTAAAAATGGTATTAATAGATATTGATCCATACCCATATGATGAAATATGATGAACTGATATGAAAAGAACCAGTTTACGGGTTTCATGTTATTTCATGTTATCTATTGTGATGATTAATGGGAATATAAGAGGAAACACACATGGAAAGTTGATGAAAGTTGGTATATTTCGGTGAATATAAGTAGTTGGGGTGACTATTGTGGTGAGAACTATTGGATTATAAGTTGAGATATGGCGTCCATTTAACTATGGTTACATAAGCGCTTACAAGTGCAATCGAACATGGCAATAGAAATAATGGGGATACCAACCCTATTGTCCATCAACTCTGATGGGATTAATTAAATGGGATATTAATGGGGATACAATGGGAATGTGGATATCATGGGAATATAATCAATGGGCCTTCTGCCAAAGCCGCCCAGTTCTTTGACACCTCCAATCATTGATGCTTAATAGACCCTTACTACATACTGAGGATAGAATAAGAATGTAGTGGGATATAATAATATCTTATATGATTAATAGATTATGATAATGCCATAAACCATATACCAAGGATATAATAACATGCAATGTGATATGGCTGTGTCTGAAAATGGGTCGATCGAACATATGGCAATTTTGCTATAGAAGAGAATTAGTAATCAGTGGATTTAGGGGTACGCTATTTTTCAGACAAACCGGTGACTTAAGCAATCAAAATCTATAGGGTATTTGACATTCACTGGATGTGAGGATTCCAGACAAGTCCATATAATTCCGTCTGGTGTTTCTTTTGCTTGGATCATGTTTGGTGAGGAAATTAATGGCAATAATAGACATATAAATTCATATAATATAATAGAATATGATATATACATATATATATACAATATATTACAGTTGGATACAGTTGGAATATACACAGTTTGTTTTATCATGTTTACTGCTCGGAGATGATGGTGTTCGAGGAGGTCACACGATGAAGCGCAAAGGGCTCTGAGGGGTGACTGAAGTCACCGGCTCACAATCAAGTTCAATACATATCTTAATACATGAATATATACCCTCTGGGAAACTAACATAGCTATGGAAAATCACCATCTTTAATTGGGAAAACTCACTATAAATTGCCATTTTCAATAGCTATGTTAAATTACCAGAGGGTATATATATATATTTATACACATTAATATATTAGTATATAATGAATAATGTACAGGATGTATCTGAATGTCAAAAACATATTCTGATTGATGATTGATAAATCACCAGAAGAGATGTGAAGAATGTTGGTATGTTGAATCAACAATGCTTCAACATCTGGCTGCTGATTGATAGAATCAACAGGAAATGCCCTGAACTCAGAGGAAACAGCTGCAGTACTGCCAGGTTGCACGAGGACACCTGGTTGACTTCCATCTTTCCTGGCAGGGCATGAGATTCGCACAGGATGTGGCTGGGTCACAGGGGGAATACACCAAGGGTCCTAACTTCAGATTTCATGCTACTATGGAGCTAGGAAGACTGCATGGTGCCTTGAAACCATGGTACAAATTAAAATACAGTAAATTAAATATGAACGTCAATTCCTGGCACCCTCAGAAAACTTGAGGAACAAAAACCTGAAAAATTCGGAGACCCAACGCCAGCCAGACACGGCCGGGGTTTCGGCCTCGATTTCATGACTTTGTCGATCTCTCGCAATGCACTGGGCAGCACCCCCAGCAGATCAGCACAGGGATGATCCTCGATGGAGGAGATCATGGGAAATCCCATGAAAAGCCATGGAATCCTGTGATTGGGATATCACGGATGGGAAAAAACATGTTTTTTAATGTGTGGGATAGAATACAGTACTATCTGACATTTTTAGTCGTGGACAAACGTGACGAGTATGAAACTATATGACTCAAACATGACCAATCTCTGAATTAAATCAACAAAACTACTGATTGAATATATTATATTATATATTATTAAACTATATAACTATATCATATTTTGCTATAGTATTTTAAATCATTTTTGACGGTATTATGATATATTACACTATATTATACTACTATCATGATATGGAACATGATCCAGCCTTGTCTACGAACAGCGCTTACCGCTTACATCGACCATTTGCAATCCCAATCCGAACTATCCCTGTGAATTGTAACCTGGGTTTGTGTGAAAATAATGGCGGAAAATGGTGTGAACATGATGATTTATCAATGTTAATAATCATCATTTGGTATAAACTATTGTTTACCAATATTAGTAATAGCTATCCCTATTGTTTACTGGCCATCACTTGGGGGTATACCCCATTGATAGACCCACCATCACCAGATTCCTGGCCCCGGCCCCTCTCCTCGATCTCATAACCTAAGGCCGGCTGCAAGCGCAGCGATGGTGGATGCCAACATCATAAAACTACATTGGCGGGATGCATGTCGTTAGATATACATATATATATATTTGTGCAGACATGTAGATATGCATGTATATACATGTAAAAACTGAATATATATATATATATACACAAAGTGGCGGACAAAACCACTTCTCCGTCGAATATGCCATACGCAAAGGGGGTCCTCCTCTAGTGGTTGTGAGAATTTATGCATTTATGAAATAGTAAAAACACAGGATCAGGTATAGGTCGTCCCCTATTGGTTGTGAAGGTTTTGCACACCCGCGGCAAGGCTAAGGAAAGGCAAACTCAATTGGTCATGACACATTTTTGTGGATCAGTCATATGAATAACAAAAAACAAACAACACAACTGTGATATTGTCGACTACATAATCCAACAACGGGGGAAAAACAAACAATGATATGCATGTATGCAAGTGACTGCAAGTGGATGAATCATGCACTGACGTTCTCATAGTTCTGTCTGACTCAGACTCACTAAATCACATGCAAATACAAATGATTCACAACATGCAAACCTTAGACGGGAATTGTATGAAATTCGCCAAACGATCCAAATCGGATTTGGGCAACAACAGCTTGACAATTTACTTCCATCAAATGCCATCAGAAGTAAACACGGTTGTAACCGGCGATATACATAATTACTTCCACCCAATTCAAATACAACAAAGCACACAGGAGGAATCAATGGTGATCACCACGCAAATGGAAGAACGAAAAGGTCCAGTCAATCATTTTACTTGTAACATGGTCACCAGTTTGTTTCACCATTTACCACATACCTCACCCTGGAATCACCTATAATGCCAGAAAAGGGTAGTGCAAGTGGTAGCTACCAGGCTACCACATGTATATCCATAAATTATGGAATATCCCAACGTATAATATGTTAACCCCTAGTTGACTTTGCTTGGTAGCTTTAAGGCTTTAAGGCTTTGTCTAGTGAACATTGCTTCATCTCATCCCCATTGCAGCTGAGACACCGCGTTGTGACAAAATGCTCCCCGAGTGCCATTCTAGCTGAGGGTTCAGGCGGCTCCCGAAGGTCAAGACGCGCCTGCCGCGGCGACCAGCTTTTAACGCTGGTAATCGCTTGACTATAGCACCCATGTTTGTAGATGTATAATTACATGTGTATATATATATATGTATGTACTGTATGTATGTATGTATGTATGTATGTATGTATGTATTTATGTATGTATGTATGTATGTATGTATGTATGTATGTATGTATATGTATGTATATATATATATGTATCTATGTATGTATGTATGCATGCATGCATGCATGTATGTATGTATGTACGTAAATAAATAAATAAATAAATGGATATATATATACAAATATATTTGAGTCATATGAGTATCTATGCATATGTATATATATATATACACATATGAACCGCTCCAACCGCTCTCATTCCCGTCCTTAAAATGTGTTGCGAAGGCGTGTGATTAGATTATTTAGCATGACGACCAGAACCATAGAACCTAAAGGACCTTGATCCTGGATTCAAAATGACAAACTGAGGCAGGAAGTTCTAAGATTGCTTACTTATTTGTAGGTGTACAAATACATATGATCCGATTCTGCGCTGTATACATTTATATGTAGTTCCATCTATACCGATCAATGCCTACAAAGGTAAATCACACTCTATCGATTTATTGATTGTATGTTTTGGATCAAAAAACACATAAACATATAATCTACAATATCATATACATATTATACATATACAGATACATATACATATATATGTCTATTTAGCCGGACACTTACCACTACTTCCAAATGATTATCCACGATAGCAAAAAAACACTGAGTCCCAGTGATCAGGAAAAAGACCCCCTACTGAATAGAACACGGTATTTCCAAGGCCCAACATGTGGTTTCACATTTGGATCTGGGCTGGCACCTTTCAAGCAAAAACACATCCTTGGGGACCATTATTTAGAAGAGTGGTTGGATTTCCAATTTATCGGAGCAGCCCTGCCAAAAGCTGATTCGTTAACAGTGTTCATTACTTTTTCTGTTACAGTATTTAATTTGCACTATCATTGCCCACTGACACTCCCCCCTCCCAATCCTATAAAATGAAAACCCAGCCGGACACTGACAACTACAGTACTTCCAAATGATTATCCACGATAGCAAAAAAACACTGAGTCCCAGTGATCAGGAAAAAGACCCCCTACTGAATAGAACACGGTATTTCCAAGGCCCAACATGTGGTTTCACATTTGGATCTGGGCTGGCACCTTTCAAGCAAAAACAAATCCTTGGGGACCATTATTTAGAAGAGTGGTTGGATTTCCAATTTATCGGAGCAGCCCTGCACAAAACTGATTCGTTAACAGTGTTTATTACTTATTTGTTTGCAGTATGTTTCACTATTTTACTATATTTTACAATATTTACATTATTATTGCTCACTGACACTCCCCG